CTGTTCTATCGGATACAACTACAGTCCACCGAATCGCTGGTACCCGTCCAAAGTTATACCGATCGCCGATTACCGCGTATCGATCCCCTGACTGGCCATTGGAAACCATCGGATATCTATCAATTCATTACTTGGATGAACCGGTCATCCGTTGAATATTTTCAAATGGGTTTCGGCGACCAGTGTTTCATCTACGACAGTATGATTGAACCGATCAATCGCCAGATGCAGGGACAGCCACCACGAGTGCCCGAAGCTGTCAAACGATTGGTGGACAGTCTACCCGAAACTATGCTCCGGCAATACTATCCCCAGTTTGCCCGGGGTAAACTAGATTTTACGACAAACGGTTTCGATATGCTATCGGATGATTGTAATAGTGGTGGCCGTCCTCCGATGACCTCCCGGTGCCGGCCGATACCGTTTTTCAGGCGCTATAACGATACGTCCAATGGTCGACGTACCAGTACGTTGTACAGACAAAATGCACGTCTCGATGAATACGTACTGATCCAACAATACCAACACGTGTACTGGCAATTGACACGTGATTTGAATAGTATAGGATATTGTAGTCCAGCTGTGAATACGTATTCAATTAGTTAATAAATAAAAAAAATTTGTTAACTAATTATTATTATTATTATTATTTTGTTAAATATTGTTTTCATTAATATATTAATATAAATCTTTTGTTTACTGTATCATTATTATATTGTATAAATAATATTAAATAAATATTATAATTTACTTAAAAAAAACTTTATATAAACTATATATCTATACACTTTTAGCACTTTGGCACTATTAGTAGTCTATAATATTTAAATTTTAAATAATAATTATATATATAATATATTGACTAAAAAAAATTGAATAAAAAAATTAATTTTAAGTAAATTAATAAATTTATTAATATTATTAAATAAATATTGATTATTAATATTGCAATATAATGGCAATGTAAACCTTGAATTTACATGAATATGAATATTAATTAATGTATTTTACTATACATTACTAACTATTATAAGTCTAAAAGATACTGTAATACAATATATGTATGATTTTATATTTGATTGAAACTTGTATTTTAATTTATATACTGTTTATATTTTGTTTAGAAATATAATTTTTTAAAATGTTTTATTACTAAAAAATTTTATAGTAGATTTTTAATTTATTAACTATTATTTTATTAATATTTTTTTTATAGCTAATAAAATTATTTCCATATTATTATTATGTGTTGTTATAATTGTTGATATATAACTTAGTGTATGTAAAGTATAATTATTGATTAAAAAATATAAGTAAAATAGCTATTTAAAAAATACGTAAAAATTATTAAATTGTTTTTTTTTAAATATAATATAATGTTCATTGACTATACAGTGATCTAGTATTATTTATTTATTTTTAATTTTTTATATATGTAAATATCTATAAAAAAAATTTTTTTTACTTTATTTAAATTATAGATATATATAAAAAAAATATATTATAATGTTTACGAAACTCGCTTTAAGTATAATTGCAATAAATTATACAATGGTAGTGGTGGGCGCCCACCACCACTACCCGTCTATTGAATCCAAAATTATTGGGGGTCATCCTGGAAATATTAGACAATTTCCATATCAGATACTTATTAAAATACATACAACCAATGGTGGCGGCGGCGGTTATGTCCAGTGCGGCGGATCACTCATATCGGCCTATTGGGTACTATCGGCGGCTCATTGTTTTTATAGGTAGTTATAATAATTATAATAAATATCTACCCCTCCCCCCCTCCTAACCTATTCTAGTAATTGAAATACATATACAAGCACTAGTAGTCAATTGAACGGTTAGTAGTCAATATATGTTTATGGACTGTCTGTTTTAATTATCGGTCACTATATTACTGTATTTTTTTATTAGTGTCCGACCTATTAGTTGTTAAACTATTTAATTAATAATAAAATGAAAAAATATGAAAATTACAAATGTTTGGTGTGTATGAGTGAAAAAAATGTGAGTAAATAGTTATCAAAATATAACAACTTTTTTTTATTATTAAGTTTTACTTAAATTATTATTATTATTAATTTTTAATATTATATTCAATATTATTATTGAAACATAAGTTTATCAGTCAAACAGTACTGTATTATGTTTTTAAAAGATAATATTAATTTTAGTTTTTATTATAAGTATAGAATTAATCATGTTTTATAATACAATGATAATATAATACAGTAATAATTTTTTTATATACAAAAAAAAAGTTTTAATTTTATTTATAATTAGTTTAGTTATAATTTTAAACAAAAAAATGTTTGTTAGTTATATACAATGTTTTTAACAACACATAAATCATTGATTCATTCAAAACCAAACATACACTCAAAAACTATAAATAATAATTTTCTCCTACTATTAAAAAATGTATTTTAATTTATGTATTTTACTGTGGAATTTATATGTGAATAGTCGGGGGAATTTTTTACCCCCACCCCACCACCCCACTTAATTTTAGATATTTAAAACAATTTCTTTAGACCCCCCCACGCCCACTTGATAAAAAATTACCGTTTAAATACACATTAATAATTCTACACCCCACCCACCCCCAGATTTTTCTAGAATTTTACAAGTTAACCCCCTACCCCATCTAGACCACCCAACCTAAAATCTAAAACCTTGCTTAATTATATATATATATATATATATATATATATATATATTTTAACTATACTATTACATATCTCAAAAATATATTATAATAGACGTAATCTGACCATGGTCGAACTAATAGCTGGTCGTACATATTATAATAGGGGTGGCATTACCCGTACGGCCCAACAAGTTTTCATACATGACCAATACGATGGTCATCAATCGGTCAATGATTTGGCATTGATACGGGTCGCTGATGGCCAACCATTTCCGTACAGTTCAACTATTCGACCGATTTCCATGTCTAATGGTTATGTAGCCGATGGTGTCTGGGCCTGGGTTACCGGTTGGGGTTATCTAACGGCAAACGGTAAACAAATTCCCGATCAGTTTCAAGTGCTCCAGGTCCGGACTAGTAGTTTGCAACTGTGCAAACATGTATACAATAATATACAACCAACTATGGATAATCTGTGTACAACTACTGGTAATACTGGTATATGTCAAGTATGTTAATTAATTTGTTAATTAATTCAGTATTTAATTTAATATTTAATTTAGTATTTAATTTATTAATTAATTTAGTATTTAATTTAGTATTTAATTTAGTATTTAATTTAGTATTTAATTTAATATTTAATTTAGTATTTAATTTAATATTTAATTTAGTATTTAATTTAATAATTAATTTATTAATTAATTTAGTATTTAATTTATTAATTTAGTATTTAATTTATTAATTTAGTATTTAATTTATTAATTAATAACCACTATCTATACTAATTAATTTCTAATATGCTTAATGTTAACAATACTATCAATCTCTACTATACTACTACTACTACTACTAAACTCAAGGGTGATTCAGGCGGTCCATTGGCTTTAAATGGTCAGCTAATCGGTGTTATAACTTCCAGTCCTGATCGCTGCGGTAACGGTAATCCCGATATCTATATGAATGTTTCAGCCTATCGCCAGTGGATCTACAATATTGCCGGAATATAATAATAATAATAATAATCATTATTATATTAATGATTATTATTATTATTAATATATTTATAATGATATTATTTTTTTATTATAATTTAATTTTAGATGTAATTTTATAGTATCATTGTTTTGTTGTTTTAATAATTAAATTATTGAATAAAAAAAATTATTATATAAAAAAGCTTTAATTTTAGTTAGTTAATAGTTTTTATATTATAATTAATATTATTAATTAATATTATAATTGAAAAACATATTGTTTAGATATAATAGTTATTAATAATGTATTGCTATTAAATTAAGTAAATAATATTAAATAGTATTATATTACAGTATTAATGTTTAAATAAGCTTTAGTATTATTTTTATTTTGTTAAATAATAATATAAATGTTTATAAATATATTAAATTGATTTATCATTTATAATTAAATTTGCCAATTAATATATATATGTAGATCACTGTACAAGTATAATATAAAAAACATCAAATAATACCTAAATTAAAAATTTTTTTAATATATATATTAATACACTTTATATTGAATATTATTTTGATACATATTTATATTATATTAAAAAATAATTTTATTTAAACTTTTTTTTATAATATTTGATTTTATATTATAATTATATATTTTCTATTAGTGAATTTTAATTGTAATATATATATATATATTACCGAAACAAAGCCATGTGTTAACCAACAACAACAACAAGTATAGTGATATCTATTGTGATATATTGTCTTAAGATATATGTGTGCAAAACATATATGCAATATATATATATATACATTATGTGTCTAATCATTAAAAAAAATATTTATCGATTATATTCTAGATTTTTATATTAAATTTTTACGAAATACTCTTAATTGTGTAAAAAAATATTTTTTTGTGTATTTTGTAATTTTTTATCCAATTGTTGTTATAATTATAATTTCATAACCGTATTGACGCTAATAGTATTATTTATTTTATTTTTTGTTAAATAACTAATTTTACTAATTATTATTATTATTATGAAAGTTAAGCAATTATTGAAAAAAACATAATTAACGATAAAAATTGATTTATCATTATTTTTAAAATTTCCCAATTAATTTAAAATCATACGATTAATTTGATTTGTAATAAATTTCAAAATAATATTATAAAATAATTTACTGTTTTTTGGGTTAAATTTTATATAAAAATCATCGGAAAAATATCGACTAAAAATATATTAATTTTTAATATTACTTTTTTTTTAAAAAAAGTTAATTATTAGGTATCACTTAAAATAATGTTTACAACAAAACTTGGTTTATGTATAATAGCCATACATTATATAGTGATGGTAGTGGTAGGCGCCGACAGCCCGTCCATTGAATCGAAAATAATAGGCGGAAGTCAGGCACCTATTTCACAATTCCCGTATCAGATCCTAATTAAGGTGCCGACCGGTGGTAATACATATGAATATTGTGGCGGTGCACTGATATCGCCCTATTGGGTACTGACTGCTGTTCATTGTTTTTATGGGTATTATATTATATTTATGTTTTTTATTAACAATTTTTTTATACAATTAATGTTTCTATATTTTTTTAACCATGCTAATATTGCACATATCTATACATCCCAAACAATTTTTTTTAAATTAATAATAATTTATTTTTATTAAATACTAATTAATACTATGATTATGTTTCTATATTTAACCATGCTAATATTATATATATATATATATATATACTGTATAAATATTAGACGCATCCTAAACAATCTTTTTTAGTTATTATTAATAATTTTTATGTTATTAAATACTATTAATGCTATGATTATATAATTTATCTCTATTATTTAACCATGCTAATATATCTATATATATATACATATATTAGACGCACCCTAAACAATGTGGAAGTAATAGCTGGTCGTACTAGTTATTCATCGGGTGGCTATGGACAGTATGCTCAACAAGTGACCATACATGGAAACTATGGCGGACTCGGTCTAAAAATAGTCAACGATATAGCACTGGTACGAGTGGGTCAACCGTTTGCCTATGGCCCTAATGTTCAGCCTATAGCCCTGTTTAATGGCAATGTAGCCGATGGTACCTGGGCCTGGGTTACCGGTTGGGGAACTGTATCGGCAACATCGAATCAAATACCGGATCAGCTACAAAAACTACAGGTCCGGACAATCAGTTTGCAACAATGCAAACAAAGTTACAACAATCTACAACTGTCCTCCAATAATCTGTGCGCAACTAATGGCCGAACCGGTACATGCAGTGTATGTATTGTTTTGATTTTTTTTAGTTTTTTTTAATTATTTTATTTTTTATTTATTATATTTAGTATTAATATTTTTTTATATTATTTATTTAAATGATTAATTTTAATACTAATTAACTAACTTTATTAGCTAATTTACTAATTGATAATATGATAGTTAATAGTTAATAGCTAATAGTTAGTTAATAGTTAGTTAATAGTTAGTTAATAGTTAGTTAATAGTTAGTTAATAGTTAGTTAATAGTTAGTTAATAGTTAGTTAATAGTTAGTTAATAGTTAGTTAATAGTTAGTTAATAGTTAGTTAATAGTTAGTTAATAGTTAGTTAATAGTTAGTTAATAGTTAGTTAATAGTTAGTTAATAGTTAGTTAATAGTTAGTTAATAGTTAGTTAATAGTTTATTAATAGTAATAGTTTAATAAAACATTATGAATACTAAATTATTATTTATACATATATGTTATATTAATATAATACTGTCTATTGTATAAACCCACCCCACCCCTCCATAGGGTGATTCTGGCGGTCCAGTGATGGCCAATGGGTGGCTAATTGGTGTGGTATCTGCCGGTCCCCGTCCATGCGGTAACGGTAATCCCGATATCTATATGAATGTTGCCGCCTATCGCCAATGGATATTCAATGTTGCCGGAGTAAAATAATAATAATTAATAATATAACTAATAATAAGTGATTATATTTTAATTATTAATATAATTATAATTAATTACAATTAATTATTATTTTTATTATTATTATATCACTAAACATTAATTTGCAAAAAAATAATCTAATTTTTTTTAAAAAGTTACAATAAATTTAATAAAAATTATAGTTTACATTTATGTTTATTATTATTATTAATTTTTTTTATAAAATTAAAAATTTACTAATTTATGTCATGTTGTAATTAAATTTGTAATATTAAGGTTTTTTTTTAAATAATAATAATTAAACTAGTGAATAAATTATTAAACATAAACAAAAAGTTATTGTGATAAAAATATTTATTAAATTTACTAATTATTTAATTAAATTTTATATAATACTGAATTATTTGATACCTTACATGACTATTGTTGATTTTAATGTGTTAAAACTGAATTATTTGATGCCTTACATGACTATTGTTGATTTTAATATGTTAAAACTGAATTATTTGATACCTTACATGACTATTGTTGAGTTTATTTTGTCATAATGAATCATTTGAGTAAATTAATTATAATTTAATTAGGATAAGAAGTTCGTATGGAAATGCTTACTGTCATTTTCAAATGGTTTTTTTATAACTTACTAACAAATAATTGAGTTTACATAATGATTATCAATAATACAAGTAATAGCTTATCTATTACTTAAATAACAAAAATATTATCAAATAAAAAACTTTTATTTTTTCATTAAAATAATATATTTAATATACATACTGTATATATATATATATATATTAAAATTAGATATAAAACATTTTATTTTTTAAATTTAACACTAATTTATGTTTTTATAAATCAAATTAAATCATAATTTATATAAATATTTATATATATTATATAAATATTAAGATTTTTCTTATATTATTACTGTAATATACATACTGTATATTAGTTATTAAAAATACTGTAAACTGGAAACAACTATATTATTGATATATATATATATATATATATATATATAACTCTAGTATATAACTATATAAAAAAAATTAATTAAAATTATTGTACATTGAAAATAAAAATTAAGTATATAATTGCTATATTAAATAATATAAATTTTAAGTGTTTTTAATTGTAGTAAAATTTTACAACTTATTTGCTACCAGTTTTTATTGATTGATTGATATATATATATATATATCGATATATATAATGGGCCAAAATATTAGCAATAATGATGGTATCGATGATGGCCTCAATGATGGCACAGGTATGCAAAAAAAATAATTAAAAAAAAGTTATTTATTTAATATACTGGATATATATATATATAATTTATATATTTTTTTATACTGAGTGCCATATATTATATATAGATCCAATAATTAACCAATCAATTATTGATCAAGTTAATAAATTAAAGCCAATAGATAATGGTTCAAATGGTATTGTATATAAAGTACAGTGGAAGCCAACAAAAAAATCGTATGCCTTAAAAGTAGTCAATGTTTACGGTAATTATCATAATCAGTAAAAAATGGGAGGGGGTAGGGAGGGGGTAATTGTAATAATTGATAAATTATAATATATGTAATTTTTATAAGATAAATTTTATATATTGATTTTAGATATGAATTATATATATATATATATAATTTTTTGAAATTAATTTATAGATATATTTTTAGAAATAAATATTAAATATTAGATTAGATATAAATATTAGATATTGATTTTAGAAATAAATTTTAGATATAGTTTTAGAAATTAATTTTAGATATAAATTTATAGAAATATTTTTTGAAATAAATTTTAGATATAGTTTTCGAAATAAATTTTAGATATAAATTTATAGAAATATTTTAGAAATAAATTTTAGATATAGTTTTAGAAATTAATTTTAGATATAAATTTATAGAAATATTTTTTGAAATAAATTTTAGATATAGTTTTCGAAATAAATTTTAGATATAAATTTATAGAAATATTTTAGAAATAAATTTTAGATATAGTTTTAGAAATTAATTTTAGATATAAATTTATAGAAATATTTTTTGAAATAAATTTTAGATATAGTTTTCGAAATAAATTTTAGATATAAATTTATAGAAATATTTTAGAAATAAATTTTAGATATAGTTTTAGAAATTAATTTTAGATATAAATTTATAGAAATATTTTTTGAAATAAATTTTAGATATAGTTTTCGAAATTAATTTTAGCTATAATTTTAGAAATAAATTTTTAGATAATATTTTTTTAGAAAAAAATTTTATATATATTTTTATTGCAAACAACAGACACTGAAAACAACATTGTTTGGTCAGTCGATCCGCGAAATGGGTGACGAAATTCGGCAGTTAATAAAAGCCGGTAAAAATGGCGACCAATATATTGTCGTTTTTTTTAAAAAACAATTGTTTTTCATCTGCTATTTATTTGCTGTTTTTTAAAAAAAAAATAAATTGATGAAAAATTAATGTATAAAAGATTTTTTTGTTAGTTAAAAGTGAAAATATTTTTTAGATATATATTTTTATATATCATATGTTTTATATATCATGTATATATTTATATATAATATATATATTTTTTTGTAATATGTGAAAAATTTAGGAAAATGTGATTTTTTTTTTAAGATAAACTATTTATTTATTTTTGTGGAAAATATAGATATATTTTGAAAAATTGCATTATTTTGAAGAAATTAAACATTTTTGGGGAAAATTGCATTTTTTGGGGAAAAGTAGATAATTTTGATAAAATTTACATTTTTATGGAAAAATAGATAATTTTGAAAAAATATTGATATATTAGTAAAATTGTACTTTTTTTGGAAAAACAGTTATATTTTTAGAAAATAAGTATATTATAGGAAAAAGTTTATAATTTATGAAATTATGAAAATTTATGAGAAAATGTATATTTTTTTAGATATAGTGAATAATTTAGAGAAAGTCAACATTTTTTGATAAAATTGCACTTTTTTTCTTTAAAAAAGGATTTTTTTTTATTTAAAAATTGAATATTTTGTTGAAAAAAGCTGATAATTGAGTAAATTTTTTATTAATAGTTTTTTTTTAAAAAAAAAATATTATAAATAACATGAATTTACAGATTTAAAAAAAATTAATTTTATTGAAATTTAAGTCAAATTATTAGTTTTTTTATTAATGATTAAATAATTATAATAATTATTTGTCAATTGTGTGGATCAACACCATAGCCGAGAAACTCCTGGAGCGCGTGTCTGGCCTTTACCGGCACTATCCTAAAGGAGTAGTTGAATCATAATAAAATTTTTTAAAAAAATTTTAGTAAATAATAATTTTAAAAAAAATTATTAATATATTTGTTAACATACACATACACATACACATACACATACACATACACATACACATACACATACACATACACATACACATACACATACACATACACATACACATACACATACACATACACATACACATACACATACACATACACATACACATACACATACACATACACATACACATACACATACACATACACATACACATACACATACACATACACATACACATACACATACACATACACATACACATACACATACACATACACATACACATACACACACATACACATACACATACACATACACATACACATACACATACACATACACATACACATACACATACACATACACATACACATACACATACACATACACATACACATACACATACACATACACATACACATACACATACACACACTTAACTTACTTTCCCAATGAATAGAAAGCCAGTGCCCGATTGGGGACAGTTATCATCGTCTCATTTCTCACTATTGCTCCGATTATATCTTTGGCCGCATTGTGTGCATCGGTTACCGGGAATATCCAATTGAATCTATTAATTGTTTAAAAAAAACAATTTATAGATACAGTTACCAAACAAACAAACAATAAAAATATAATAATACCTGGATTTTGGTTTTTTAAACATTCCGGTAGTCATAGCCAGTGGACAAACGGTTGTCAGTTTGATGTTATCGTAGGCCCGGTTCTGGCGTAACTCCATCTCCAGTGACTCCATTAGGCCGACGATTGCAAACTTTGAGGCACTTTATTGATTGATTGTTAAATAAATTAATATCAATAATAAAAAAAAGTCTATAAATACTACAAAAAATTATATACCAATAGTCGACCAGATGTGATGTACCAATGAGTCCGGCAATGGACGCAATGGCCACTATATGACCCGATCCGCGGGCCATCATTTTTGGCAGATAGTGACCAACTGTCCAGAAGTGGGACAATGTGTTCACTTCAAAGGTTCGCTGAATATATTAATAATAATTTTTTTTATTAAAAAAATATAACAAAATATAATTTTTTATATATATATATAAAAATCAGACAAACTTTTATATTTTTGCTGATAAGCGACTCAAATGGCAAACATTGAACTATTCCTGCATTGTCTGCAAAAATAAAATTTTAAAAAATAATAAATAAAAATTAATTAACTTTTTTTGTAGTAATAATAATAATTATTATTATTATATCTAATTTCTAAAAAACTATTGTTAGTCTATATTTTTTTTGGTAGTAAAATATAGTAATATTATAAAAATTCAAAAATAATTTCAATCAATCATATCTAAAACAACAACAAAAAAAAATAATTAAAATAAATTTTTTTTTAAAAAAAACAATACTTATAAGTATATCGACGTCTCCTAAATCCCATTGTATTTGTTTAGCCGTTTCGGCGATCGACTCCTCGCTAGTTATGTCACAACAATAGCCCAGTGCCTGACCACCCGTTTCCCGTATTTCGTCCACAACGTGATCATTATTATCCTATTTTTTAAAAAAATTAATAATAATTTTCAATAAATTATATATTTTTCAAAATAACTTTTTTAATAAATACCTTATTTATGTCAATCAGCGCTAATTTGGCGCCCAATTTGGCACAAATCATAGCCATTTCGCGACCCAATCCATGACCCGAACCAGTGATGACAACCACTTGATTTCGTATACTTTTTTTCGGCTTATTTATCACTAAACTGATGGCAAATTCAATGTATGCGCCAATTATTTTCACTAACAATACAATAAAATCGGTAACAATATCGATAAGTTCATTAAATATCATTATTATTATATTATTACAAAACAACCAAAAAAAAAACAAACTAATTATTATTATTAAAAAAATTATTAAAAAAAATTAAATTATTTTGTTGTAAATTTAAAAATATATTTTTTTTATAATTAAAAATAATAAACTGATTATATGTATAGACAGATGCAGTTTTACATCAATATAAGATATACAGTATATTATACAGACTGTTAGTTAGTTAGTTAATAATAGTAGTATTAATAAATTAAAATAAACTAAACTAATCTAATAATACTAATTGCATAATAATAATAATAATACTACTAAATATAGGTTATGCCCATAAACTTGACATTTATTATTAGTATTATTATTATTATTATTTAGTTATTTAAATTAAAAACCAGCCACGCGTCATTAGGGATGACCTCAAAAATAATAATAATAATAATAAAGTTTTAAAACTACACTAAAAATAAACTGTCTGTCAATGAGTGTGTGTATGTACAGGTTTTAGGAGGGGGGGGGAGGGGATGGGTGAATACCGGTGCTTGCAAACAACTATTAGTAGTATATTTAGAAACCGGATTTTGAAACTGTAATACCTTTTTATTTTTTTGGTACTAAATTTAAATCTATCTAAAAATATTATTAGTATATTATTATTAATTATTATTAATTATTATTATTTGTTTTAACTATTAATAATATTTTGGAAGTAAAAAACAAAACAAAAAAAAGTGTAAAATGTAATTATTATTACTGTATAATATGTAATGTACTGTATATTTATGGATATGTATTACAACATAATATGCTGTAATATAATATTATATTTTTATAAATAATTTATTTTTGTTGTTAATTAATTAAAGGAAATACTCGATAATATGATATATATATATTTATAGTTATATATTGTATGTATATTTATATCATTTTACAATAATTATTATATGATATTATTTGATACATGTATTATATGATATAAAAAATAGTATAAAAGTATATTTCATTACATATACTGTAATGTGATATACAATTACAATATGTTTTAATAAATTTTATTTACATTTTATATTTATATATAAAGTTAATTGTTTAAACTTTTAATGTATTTCAATTCAATTTAGGCTATTATTACAGTATTATTATATAATATTGTAATATACATACCTGAGCTCAGTGGGTAAAACAGTAGATGTCGTACATATATTTATAAATTATATTTTTTTAAAACAAGTAAATATAAAAAAATTAAATATTTTTTTAGAAAATAATCTATTATTAGTATATATATAAGTAATTTATAATTAAAATTCTCAACTTTTGAATTTGAATTTATTTATTCAAAAAATAAAATATTATATAAATATTTATATTTTAAAAATAAACATTTATTTTTAAACAACATTTGCCTTATAATATATTATCAGTATATTAAATATCAATAGTTAAAAGTTCAAAAGTTATATCCAAAAAATTATATTATTAACGAAACAAACAAAACAAATATTGTATAATAATTTTATTATTATTATTGACTATTATTTATTTATATTTTATTGTACACAAATAAAATATATACTAAAATAATTTAATTAGAAAATCAAAATAATCATCTGAAAACATTTTATTTTATATAATAAAATAATGGTACTCAAAATAAAAATTTTAATTAAAAAACTATTTATTAATTAAAATTTAGAAAAATTTAGTTATTAAAAAATTAAAAAAATTAAAATATTGAATTAATTAAATTAAAATAAAACTACATATCTTAATGTTATTTTTAATTAAATAGTAATTATTTATTTTCATAAATATAAATATATAAATATAATTGTCTCACAAATTATAAAAACAAATTACACTCCCTTTCTCTAAAAAAAATTTCATTTATTGTCCATTAATTTAGAGATACATTTGTTTGTTTGTTTTTCATGAAAATTGAAAAAATACATTAAATATTTTTATTTTTTAAAAACTTTTTAATGTCTTACACATGTGTGGTATTGTTATCTCCAAAAAAACAATATATTTAATAAAATTATTACAATACCAAAAAAATTGTTTGTGTTTTTTAAATTAATTTTTTTTAATATAGGGGTAGGTTTTCAATCAATTGGGACTTTATTAAAAAAACTATTAATTATTGAAAACTTATTGAAAACAATTCAAACATATTTAATGTATGTGTTTTTTCTTTATACAATACAATCCAATATATATATAAACATAATTATATATATATACTATAATGATTGTAATATTACAGTATAATTAAATTAATTAAATAATATTATAATTATTTAAATAAAAAACACAAAAAACAAATTGTTTGTGTATTTACTTATGTCTACTAACTATTTTATTTTCAAATGTAATACACAATTAGAAAAATGTTTAATTATTATTTACTAATATATTTAAATATTACTTTTATTCAAAAAAATTGTATAAATACAATACAAATACATAGCATGTATGTGTATGTGTTTGTGTCTATGTGTGTATATATGTGTGTATATATGTGTGTTTGTGTTTATGTATATGTGGTTGTCTCTGATCACATTAAGTTATATCAAATTACTATAATTTTTTATATTATTAAATTATACAATTTTATATCATATATATACTGAATATATTAATATTTGTATTTTTAAATATTATTAAAATTTTAAAATATCGATAAAATTGTGTGTATGTGTGTGTATGTGTGTGTGTGTGTGTATGTGTTTGTTTCAATTGATATACAAATTGTAATACAATACACATTTTCTATGTGTATGTGTGTATAGAGATTGACAACAAATAAAAATTACAGTACAAATGAGATTACATTAAATTAGATATATATAGAAATTATATACCTGTATATATCATTATTCATATACAGTATATATACTGTATAATCAAACATATATATATATATTAAAAAATTAGAGGATTGGCGGTAAATAATGGGCCGAATCGAGTAGCGGGTCGTCCACCGATCGGTTAGACTGGAGACCACCGTTTTGGTAGTGATGACCACACTTGCCGTTCAATTGTTTCAGATTAACTGTCAAAATAATAATAATAATAATAAAAATTAATTATATTTTTTGTTAGTAATGTATAAAATTTTAGGATTTCAATCAATCAATCAATAAGTCATCCAATTGTTTAGTTATGATTGATTTAATTGACACAAATTGTCAAATAATTCAAGATATATATATATATATAATATTTATATATTTTTTGCTAAAATTATTAGTAAACCTCAAGTAATACTTATTAAATTAGATAATTACTTATTTTATATAAAATATTGTTTATTTATTGATTTATTTAAAAAAATCTCAACTAGGTATACACTATATATATATATATATAAAATATTGTATTAAAAAAATTAATTTCAACAATCTACCTAGTTAAAATTAACTTGTTGACTAATATTTTATTTAATTGTTATTTATAAATAATCAAATAAATAGTAAATATTTTATATAATAAATTTTATGTATAATGAAAAATCAATTTTGCTAACTAAATACAAAAAAAAACATTAATTGGTTAATTAATTAATTAATTATTAATATATAATTTTGTGTGTGTGTGTTATAATTAATATTTTTATAACTATTATTATTATTATTACTAATAATTTATTTTTATTTATTTTTTAGACATCAAACAAACAATACAAACACATACGCGAGTCATCAGACGAGGCTCTGATTATTTTGATAGGACTGACACCCGTAGCCATCATTGACTGAACCGGCTTTTTGTCCACTAATAACTGATTAGTAGTAGTAGTAGTAGTGGTAGTAGTTTTGGGGGTAACGGAGCTTATCTTGCGGTTAGTTTGGATTCGCGATACTTTATATACATTGCAATCTAAATATATATATATAAATTTATAGGTAAGGTATATATATATATATATTAATATTAATTTTGTTTAAAAAAAGGAAAATAAAAATAATATCTAATTTATTATAATATAAGCATTTATTAATATTTAGTACTAATAATAATATTTATAACATACATAATAATAATACTAATAATAATAATTTACTATTTGTTTTTGTTGTTGAATTGCATAAATATAATTAATTATTATTAAACAAAACTACTAGTAATTTATAACAATTTATTTTGTGTGTGTGTGAATTGTTATTTATATTAATTTAAATATTATATTATTATTTTTATTATTATTTAAAAATATAATTTAAATTAATGATTATATAATATATAATAATAATAATAATAATAATAATAATCATTGTTACTATTTTTTAAGCACAACTAATAAATCATTTTTAATAATTTATAAAAAAAACTGTTCAAAATATTATGCATTATAAAATAAAAATAAAAAAATTTTGATTTAATTTTTAACATATATTTAATCTTTAAAAAAGTTATGCTACTTGTTGATTAAAAATAAAAATTAAAAATAATTTTAAATAATAATAATAAAAAAAACTTATAATAATTATTATGGTTATAATAATTAAACCATCTATGATGTTATGATATTAATTATATTATTTTTATCATTAAAAATATTATATAATGGATAATATCCTAATTAGCTATAACTCTATTATAATATACTATAACTATAATCAAATTAGTAATTGATGATATTAAAATTACTACATCAAAAATAATTAACAAAAAAATAAAATATATTTATATCATAAAAAAATAACTAACATTTTACTTATAAACTATAATTCAAATAATATAAAGTCATGCATTTACATTTAATTTACTATAATTTAACAACAAAATACTAATAATAATAAATATATAATTTATAAGTAATTAATTTTTTTAAAAGTTATTTATATTTTATGTTATTTTATTTAGAGATTTATATATAATACAGTATCACTACTATTACTACTACTACTACTAATCATATTGTACTGTATAATCATAAATGTATTAAATAAGTATAAAATAAAATTTTAAAAAATTTTAAATAAAACTACAGTACAAACCGTTTTCAATCTCTCTAACAGTCAACGATTGTATTGATTTGGCGGCAGTATTGGTAGCAATAGTAGTACTTGACCTCCGGTGGTGGTGATGGTGATCGGTGGCACCGGTAGTTGCTTTCAAATTATTTGTATTATTTAAATTAATAATATTATTAATGTGTGTTTGATTATTTTTGTGATTATTATTATTATTATTGATAATAGTTATGTTGTTGGTGTTGTTGCCATTCAACCCATTGATATGATTGTAATGTCCGGCCAGCCATACGTGCTTTAAGGCCTCATCGGGTGTCATCCGGTGCATGGGATTCCACCTATTATAGGGACAGTCATATTATTATTATTATTAGTATTAGTAGTAATAATAAATACATAAAATTATAGATTTTGTGAAAAAAAATAATTAATTAAATTTATATACTGTATATATTTGATATTATTATTACCAAATTATATTACAGTACTATTTAATGCTGATTTAATTTTTGTTAGTCAATAATTAGCTGTATTTGTTTGTTTTATTTTATATATATATATATATATATTATTACACATATATTATATATATATGTGTGTGTGTGGGTTTATAATTATAAATATAATTTTGTATTTATTAATAATAATAATTTTATTATTATTTAAAAATAGCTTATTTATTGGTAGTTTAGTAGCTTATATATTGAATATATAGATAGTGTACTATTATATTAATATAAATATTTTTTGTTTTAAAATAAATAATAATCTATAATAGTAATTATAATTATTAATACTATTTTATTTATTTATATATTATTGGTATGATTAATATCATTGGGAACTAATTAAGCAATATATTATTATTATTGTAACTAACCAATAGTTAACTGTACTACAATTTCCAGTATAATAATATTGAAATTTATATATATATATATATAATTATTACAGCCATCACCACCAATATATCTACAACTACTACAACAACAACTACTACTACTACTACTACTACTACTACTACCACTACTACCACTACTACCACTACTACCACTACTACCACTACTACCACTACTACCACTACTACCACTACTACCACTACTACCACTACTACCACTACTACCACTACTACCACTACTACCACTACTACCACTACTACTACTACTACTACTACTACTACTACTACTACTACTACTACTACTACTACTACTACTACTACTACTACTACTACTACTACTACTACTACTACTACTATAATTATTATTATTATTATTATTATTATTATTAACTATTACTTACTCCAGGCATCGGCTAAGAAAGTCAATGAAGTCGTTGTCATTACAGTTAAGCGCCTGACTTAAGGGCTTGGATCCGGGTTTGCGTTTCTTTCCCTTACTGTTTGTCGTATTTCGAGGATTTCCTTTTGAATCTAAAAAAATTAACCAAAAAACAAAAAATCAACAAAAAAACAAAAAAAAACAGAAAATAAATAACAGAAAAATTATTATTCAGTTATATTTCAATATATTATTAGTATTTGACTACTACTACATCACTATTATTATACTATAATATATATATCAATAGCATATATAACATATACAGTATTATAATTTTTTTTAAACACTATAATATAATTAATACACATGTATTTGGATGCATATATTAGGATTAACTAAATTTTTATATATATAAAAAATACTAAACATGAATAATACATTAGCTTTTTTATGTTGCTTTAATTAACAACAACAACAACAACAACAACAAAAAATAATATAAATCACCAACAACAAATAAATAGTAGTATAAATAAACATATATGTATTAATTCATATATTAAAAAATTAAAAAAAACAAACTATGATAGCTAATTATGTTAAACTAGAAAATATATATATATATTAAAAAACATAAATATGTATTTAAAATGTTTTAATTTTTATAATATTGAAAACAAAAAATAATTTTTCAAAAATGTAAAAATATTAAATATATATATATATATGTATAACTTTTGTACGGTATCAATTTTTAATATGTATATACATGTAATATTACCTAGTAAAATTATTATTTTGTGCATCTATTAGTGTGTTTACATAATATAATGTTAAGCGCGTAATAATAATAATAATAATATCATATACAATATTAAATAAAATTTTTTTGTTGAATAAAATATAAGTGTTGTAATAATAAAAATATAAAATTGCATTTCTGTAAAATCTATGTATTAAATATTAAATTTAATATGAAATATAATAAATTATTGAATAGTCCATTGTATATATATATATATATATATATATGGATATATATACATATAGTTTGTATATATATATTTATTTTCATATATATATATATATCAATATATATGTAGAATAATCTTTAGAAAAGATTGAAAGAATATTCTGTATTTAGAATATATATATAAAACTCTTTTATTTTTATTTTTATATGCAATCTATAACTGCTATCAAAAAATAAATACACATTTAATGCAATACCGTGTGTTGTAAATAATCCATTTGAATGGCAACACACTAAACAACACAAACAAAAAAAAACTATACCTACTATTCACTACAAAAAAATATTTATTTATTTTTTTACTATTTATTTTTCGCTGTAGTATTATTTGCTGATTTTTATTATTTAAGACAAATATCTTTTATTTATATAGTAATATAATAATATGTCTATAAATGTATAATTCAAAGCCCTGTTGGGCTATGGTGTGTATGTGTGTGTGTATGTGTGTGTATGTGTGTGTATGTGTGTGTATGTGTGTGTATGTGTGTGTATGTGTGTGTATGTGTGTGTATGTTTGTGTGTATGTATGTGTGTGTGTGTGTGTGTGTGTGTGTGTATGTGTATCTGACTTACGGCTATATCACTCAATATATTACAACTAATATTAATGTTTTTACTTTTGCTTTTTATTCACTTACAGTACATATACTTACATATATATATATATATATATATATATATATATATATATATATATATATATATATATATATATATATATATATATATATATATATATATATATATATACTGTAATATCGATCGATATATATATATAACTAACTATCTAACTAACTAACTGTTCATTTATACTATTTATGTATAGTTTCTCTAAGATATACAGTAATATTATTGATAAAATATTGTATATTCAATATATATATATATATATTTATATATACAGTAGTTTTATAAATAATATTATTTTCAACCTTTTTATATTACGAAATCAAAAAATTGTGTGTTTTATTCATTGTTTTTATTATTTTTTTTTAAATTTTATTTTATACGATATATTTCTAGTTAGATAAATGACTAACTGATTGATTGACACAATTTATATTTTATTTACTTAATTTAATTTAATTTTTTGACAAATATATTAAATATAAGTCTAGCTTTTAACACATAATCATTATACTATTGTTACGATTATTATTTATTTAGTTTATATTTATTTTTTTATAAATATCATTATTATTGTTATTATTACTAAACATTTAACTACAAAAAATAATTATTTTTTTTTATTTTATCTAAATATTATTGCAAACTACTATAACTGAGATATAGTGTATATATATATATTAGTAAACTAAATGATAATTAATATATCATAAATATGTTTTCAAATATATACAGTATATATACATACATACATATATATATTTATATATATATATATAATATTGTAGACGACATAACTATTAATAATAACACCATAAACTAATTGAATATTTTTGTTGTTAAATGATAATAAAAAAATTTTTTTTTTTTTTTAATATTAAGTGTTTGTAATACAAACTTTGTATGTATTATATTATTTCAATCATCAGCATAATCATCATTACTATCTTATTAGTATTATTATTATTATTAATAGCAATATGTGTAGAGTATGTAGTGTTTTTTAACCGTATATATTGTATATATATAACAATAAAAATAAATTGATTGACACTTTAATACCAATGAATTTTAATATTATAATATAATAATCCTTATTATTAATTATGCAAATATTTATAGACAATATTTTGTTGTTGTTTTTTTTGTATTATTAAAAATTAATTAATAAAATACTAAACTACAATATTTAAGCTAGCACATGTTAAAAAAAATTGTTGTATAAAAAAACTAACATAATCTATTAATAATAACTACTACTAGACAATGATAATTTATTACGGAAATAATAATAATAATAATATGACAATGATAAATTATTATATGTATACGGAAAAACTGCATTATAATAAATACATAAATATAAATAAATAATTTTATATTATTTATTTATTATTAATAATAATTTAAATTTTTTTTACCAAAAAATAAACGGCGCCGGGTCGATGCTTCCAATACAGATATCGGGGGCGTACCTAAATAATTATAAAAAATAATAATAATTAATATAATTAATATATAATGTTACTAATTAATTAATTAATTAATTAATTAAACACGATTGAACCTAATTGTTAGATAATTTAAAATCAATAAAACAACAACAAAAAAAATTAAAATTAATTAATTCAAAAAATATATTACTAGTATATATTATGATATATATATAAATATTAAACAAACAAAGAAATTTTATTTTTATTAGATTAAAAAATTAAAAATTAATTATTATTGATTTTTAATATTAAATACAGTATACAATATTATTGTAAAAAAAAATTATTAATGATGATAATAATAATAATATTATTATTTTGTTAATCTATTGTTTTTTTTAATGACTGTATTAGCATAACATATATTAATATATACAATATATATAAATTTAATTATTGGTTGAACGATAATCATACTGTATATTAATGTTTATATATTTTTAAAAAAAATAATAATTATTATTATTATTTTTACAAAACAGTTATGTATTTCAAAAAAAAAATAAATAATAAATAATATTTTGTAATTAATGGATTTAGGTTGATTAATTTATACAAAATAAAATATAAACAATAATAATAATAATAATCGTAAAAAATAATTTAGTAATCATAAAAAACATCATAAAAAATTTCATAAATAAGTATAATATATATATTTTTTGTTTATATATATACAGTATATACTGTATATAAATTATAAGTGAGAGTTCACACGACTTTTTCTGAATCAAACGTTTTTATTTCATATATAACTTATTATTATTATTATTATTATTTTATGATTATATTTTAATATATAGCTATACAAGTAACACACATAACAAAAAAAAATTTATAAAAAAAAATTTTCAATACAATTGAAAAATAACTGACTGACTGACTGTTATTGTATTTATTTTCACATTTGTATTGTTTTTTTTAATAATTTTTTTTACAGTATATACTGTATATATATATTAGTCGACTTATGAAATCAAAAACTTATTATTCAAATGAGAGACAGAAAAAAATAATAATTTATATTTTTTTTGTATCTCTCTCTCTCTCTCTCTCTCTCTCTCTCGAAATTTCATTGTTTAGTATGTATTTTCACATATATTTACTGTACATAAAAAAATAAATGAAATGAAAAACATTGAATCAAATTTATATTATATAGTATATTGTATTTAAATAAATATTTTTGAAAAAAAAATTCTGACTTTTCTGAATTGTGAAATTATATAATATATACTATATTATTATTATTATATTTTTTCCATCTGCTAGTTTCTACTGTATATTTTAATGAAACATACTTTTCAAATAATAATAATAATTTTATTATTAATCATACGGTAATAATGTGAACTGTTTAAGTTCACCTTATTTTTTCTTATATTATTATTATTATTGAAATTTATTTATTTTTATTTTCACACACACACATATATACATACATCACATACACACACACATACACACACATACACACACACACATACACACACATACACACTCATACACACACACATACACACACATACACACACATACACACACATACACACACACATACACACACATACACACACATACACACACATACACACATACACACATACACACACACACACACACACACACACACACACACACATACACACACACATACACACACACACATACACACACACACATACACTTAATGATACTAATAATGCATCAAAAAAAATTTTAGATTAAATGTATTGTATATATTATTAGCTAATAAACTATAATACTATATGATTAGTATTGCATAGAAGTTTAGTAAAAATAATAGTACAGTAGTAATGATAATAATAATAATAATAATAAATAGCAATTGTACAGTACATTTAATGTTCAACAAAAAAAATAAAATCAATAAATAATCAATAGTTTTATTACCAGTGATCTAGTTTTCACTGTATACATGTATATATAAATTTCAAATACAACTAAAACAATTAAGTTGTAAAACATAATAAAACATTTTACCCCATACTATGATTATTTATTTTATTTATTTTTTTTTTGGTTGCTGTTTGAATCAATAAAAAAAATCAATATATTATATAATAATAATTATTATAATTAAAATTTCAATATTATTATTTTATACAACTACTACTGTTAACATTTAAATAATTGATTTATATATCTATAGGATATTTAGGTATTATTATCATAAAAGTTATTATCATTTATTTCTAACCCTCAAAAAAATTATTATTATTTATTTATTTTTCTTTTATGATGAAAATTGACTGTATTTTTCCATTGAAATACATATTACAGTATTATATAATAAATAATATGATATAATATGATATCTCATATGGGAAATGGATGCATGTATTTAGTATTAAAAAATAATAAATAATTAATTAAAAAATAAAATGCTATAATACTTATAATAATAATTATAATAATAGCTATGCTAAACACTAGCAATTATTTAACTAAATATTAATACAAATAATAATAATAATACAAATTGAAAAAAATAGTTTTCATCATTAATACTAAAAAATTTATATATATATTATAGTATTATTTTTTTTTGTTGGTAGCTATCCGTTGGGATATTTAAGTAATTATAACTAAGTTTTATTTTGTTGTTGAGTTAAGCAAAATAAAAAAACAAACAAACAATAATATAAACAGTAAAATTTTATACATTAATTGTATAAATTAATTGCAATTACAACAATAATAAATTGCATTTAAAATACACAGTAAATTTAGACAATAACAACATTGCATTTAATATTATAATATTATAATTATCTTAATTGTAATTTTGTAATCAGATATTACTGTATACATTATAAAGTACAGTATATATGAAACAAATAATAATTAGTTAATTAATAATATAAATTTTAAAAAAAAGTTAAATTACACGGAAAAACTGTTTAATTGTTTAGTTTGTTTGTCTGAATATATATATATATATATAATTAATAATAAATAAATAATACAATATATATACTGATATTTAATTTCTCAATAATATTATATACAGTTTAATCATACAAATTTCTAAATTGTAATATTATATATACTGTATATAAAAAAATATATCTATTTTTATTAATATTATATTATTAATAAATAATTAAATTAGTTAGTTTTACGGATAACAATAATTGTAACATAATATTAGGTGTAAAACAGATAAAATTAATTATAATTATATAATTTTTTTTTTGTATTTAATAATAATGGCATAAAATTGATGATAATTTTTAAAGTTATTATAAAAAAAAAACTATCCAAAGATAACTTACCGATAATTTCCATAATGCACAATAGTTGGTCACCCTCATTTTCACCGGGAAATATCGGGTAACCCGTATATAATTCGGCCAAAATACAGCCCAAACTCCACATATCAATAGATGTGCCATATGGTAGACCCAATATGACCTAGTTGAAATTTTTTTGAAAAAAATATATTATAAATTAATATAATTATAAATAAATATTATATTAAAAAATAAATTTCCATTATCCAAATTATTTAGATAAAAATTTAAATAAATTTTCAAAAATAATATTAATATATATATACATAATTATTTTAATACTGTATATATATACTATAAATTAAATTATAAATTAAAATAATTATGTATATATATATTAATATAAATTATTTAAATTTTTTATCTAAATAATTTGATAAACAAATTTATTATTTTTTTTAATAAACAATTAATAATTATATTTACTATAATTTTATTATATTATTTTATTTTGGTTATTAAGATTGCTAATAAAATATTTATATTATTATTATTATTATTATAAATAAAATGCAAATAAAAAAATGTTTAGTAAATATTTCTGTAATAATAATAATATAGTTTTAAAATAAAATACTGTAGAAATAAATAAGTAATAAATAAATATAAATATATTATTAGATTTTACTATATTATAGTAGATTTATACAAGAGTTGTCTATTTTTTAAAAAATATGATAAATATAATAATAATTTTATTCAAAATATGTTATTTAAAATATATATATATATATATATAATATCATCTTATTATAATACAGTTAAAAGTAGTGTATATAATGTTTAGTTTATTTCAAAAAATATATACTGTATTTATTTTGATATATTGTTGTGTGTGTGTGTGTGTGTGTGTGTGTGTGTGTGTGTGTGTGTGCTATACTAACAATAATATTGTTGAAAATTTTTATTTGAACACAATTTATCACTTTTAGTTTTTTTTCATTTATTTTATTTTCAATTTATTTGTTATAAACCATTGAAAGAATGAGAGCTCTCTCTCTCTCTTTTTGTTGAATTGATTTTTGAAGAGAGAGAGAGAGAGAGAGAGAGAGAGAGAGAGAGAAAGAGAGAGAATGAATGAATGAATAAAAGTTATATTAAAATTTCGATAAATTTTTTTTTCTAAATACATTGTATATTAAAATAAAAAAAGATTTATTTTATGTTATTTATCAGTAAAAGAAACAATTCAATGACCAATAAATTACAATATATACTGTATATACAGTACTACTACTAAACAAAACAAATTGTTTAAATAAATAAATAAATAAAAAATTTCTGTTTTCTAGTTTTAATTAAATTTCAAATCTATTATATTTGTTGTTGTTGTTGTTTTATTATTATTATTATAAATAAATAATTGTATTTAACTAAACACAACATCAATAGCAACAATATAATTAAAAAAAAATATATATTTAGAGTAAATAAACTTAAAATTTTTATTATTACAAATAATTTTTACATTACTTTCTCTATAGATTGTAAAATATATTTATTATTTTATATTTTATTATAAAATATATATATATATATAGACATCATTGAAAATTTATCAATATATATATGTTCAGTATAAATAAATATCTAAAATACTATATAAATATAATAAAAATAATTGAAAATAATGTATGATTTCCTGTAAAAATAGCGAATCATAAATAAAATACAATATCTTTAAAATATATATTAAATATATATAATAATAAAAATTGATATACAATGTACTGTATATTATATAATGTCTATACACACACATACACACCATATAAATGATATAATATTGTGTGTTGTCTTTTATATCTATATATATACTGTATATATAACATATCGGGTGTAATATATGGCACACATATACTATTAATATATATATATACAGTACAAGTGCAACAACAACAACACAACAACAACAAAATACATTACATATAAATATATGATACAAAACTTAGTAGTAGTAGTAGTAGTATTGAAACTTAGCGACATGTAGTCTAATAATAATAATAATAGTTATTTGTAACCAAAAAAAGGGGTCAATTCATAGTAGTAGTAGTAGTAGTAGTAGTACTACTAGTAGTAGAGTACTGTTATATAACTACTACTACTAATATTACTACAATTTGTAATAATAAAAACTTTTACAATATATATATATATCTAGTATAGTATAGTATAATATAATAGTATTGATGATACAAACCTCTGGTGACCTATAAAACCTCGACTGTATATATGTATAGACGCGTTGGTGTGCAAAACAACTGCTACCAAAATCAATGACTTTGATCTGTGAACTGCCCTTTTGTTTCAATAGTATGTTTTCCTATATAGATATATGAATTGAAAAAAAATATTTAAAAAAATTTTTAAAAAAAATAAATAAAATAAAAGATAGTTTGTTGAAAATAAATTGACATTTTGTGTGTATTAGTTTTTATTTAATATATATTTTTTTGTTAAATAAATCATATGTTTTTTGTTTTTGTTTGTTTCGATAGTAAAGTAAAATAAATGATAATAAATATATGATATGTTGTTGTATTAATATATATATATATAGTTAAAGATTTTAGTTGAATAATTTTTTTTTTGGTTTTTTAAATTATGCATATATATACTATATTTATACATTTAATATTATTCATATTAATATATATATATATATTATTAATATAAAAAATATTTTTTTTAGTTTATGAATTTTTAAATAAATATTTAACAACAAATTTAATAGAAAATACTGATTTAAAATATTAAATATATATATAGAAAATTATTTTCAAATAATTTACGTTTTATTATTATTATTATTATTATTATTTCAACATCAATTGAAATAAAAATTTTATAATATGTAAAGTCAAAAAATAAAAATAAATTTATGAAAATAATTAAAATTCTGTATCTATTATGTAAAATACATGTAAAGTACATATCCTTATATGTAATTTATTGTATGTTAAAATAAATCTAAAATTTATTTAAAAAGTAAACTGTATTTTGTAGATTAAATATATATATATATATATATATATAGTATAGTATAATCTATACATGTTTAGCTAAATAAAATGCAATTTATCATTTAAATTAAAAAACTTATTTGTTTAATGTGACAGTTAGTCTATTAATGTGTGTGTGTGTATGTGTGTGTGTGTATGTGTGTGTGTGTTATATAAGGTTATAAATTGTTTTAATTAAGCTCAACACACACACACACACACACACACACTACACACATACTAAAAATAAATTAGTTATATAAAATAAATTGTGTATATATAATTAAAATTAATATCTATAATAATAATAATAATAATAAACTATTATATATATATAACATTTTATGATATAATTATGTGACACATAGATTGACTATAAGCAAAAAACAAAATTGATAGATAACTTTAATAAATAAATATAAAAAGTTTTTTAATAATTAATATTAATATATATTAGATATTAATATTTTTTGCTTATAAATAGTGTGTGTGTTTGTAATGCATAATAATTAACTATCAATAATAAATTGTCAAAAAAGTAATTAATTTTAAATGTGTTAATTGCATAATTTGTTTTTTTTATTTTATGTTTTTTTGCTCTCTCTCTCTCTATCTAACTATAAAATTTAATAAATGAGTGATATTTTATTAAACGATTGAAAATTAACAAATAAAATAAACAAACAAAATCAATTTATTTAATAATAAATTTTAATTGTGTGTGTATGTATATGTATGTATGTGTATATATATGTATGTATATGTATGTGTGTGTGTTTGCACAGTAAAATAACATTTAACAAAATAATAATATTAATAACAATAATTGAATAACAAAATTATAACTATTGTTTTAATTAATAATTAATTACATTATACATACAGTACATACAGTATGTTGTTATTGATTTATATATATAAAAAAATTGTTGGACACAATTTTGTTTATTTTTTTTATATATATATAAATTATAATTAAATTTGTTCACACACACATGTTTAATTAGTTTTTACCCAAACAATTAAATATAATAAAATTAAATATAAAATTAAATTAAAATTAAATACTCACTGGCTTTAAATCACAGTGAATGATGTTTTCCTTGTATAGTAATCGTAGACATTGTACTAATGAATGGGCAAATTTGCGGATCAAATTGATACTGAATCCCTGGTAATTGTTTTTCTTGATTAGCTCATATAGATTGACACTAAATAGTAGATGATATGGTATGGGTTGGGTTGGGTAGGATAAGGTAGGGTATGGTAGGATAAGGTAGGGTAGAAAAAAACAAACAAACAAAATTAATTTTTTATGAATATAATTGTTTTACATTTATATATATAGTAATAATTTTTTGTTTATAGTATGCATTGTGTATTAAATAGTTTAATATTTTTAAATAAATATATATAGATTTTACTATTAATTATTTAGTATTTATTTTTAAAATAACAAACAAAATTAATTTTTTATTAATAATTGTTTTACATTTATATATAATAATAATAATAATTTTTTGTTTATAGTATGCATTGTGTATTAAATAGTGTAATGTTTTTTAAATAAATATATATATATTTTATTATTAATTTTTAGTATTTTTTTTAAAAACTATTACCAATGGTAATTTACCATTTAATAACTTATTTTATTTTTTTAAAATTTATTTAATTTTATAAATATTCATAATAGTTTAAATTGAGTACTACTACTACTACTACTAAGTTTGAATTAAGTTTAAATAAAATATTAAATGTTAAATTTAATTTATAAACTTATAGGCAGTAAATATTGATATAATTTATATATGCATAAAATTTTATCTCATAATTAATTCAATATATTTACTGTATATGTAATTATTAAACTAATCCTTAGATAATAAATATTTTAATTAGAGTATAGAATATTTTTGTTGACTTTAAATAAAAAAAAATTATTTTTACTTAATTTATTTTATTTGATTTTTATTTATTTTTTAAATAAATTTATTCAAAAGTCCTAATTACTACATAAATAAAAAAAATTAACTGTAACTATCAAATAAAAATTATTATTATTATTATTTTAATAAAAATATATAATTTCCACCAGAAAAATACTGTACATTAATATATATATATATATATTAACTTAATATTACTTATATAAGGGGTTATATAAGTAAACAAATTAATGAAATTTAATTTATTGCATACAAATAGTGTATATTTTACTGCAATTAATTGATTTTTTATTAATTATTTACAGTATATACTGTATATGAGATTTAAACAGTAGTTTTATTTTATCTCAATATAGAGTAAATAAAATTATATATATATATATATATATATATATATATATATATATATATATATATATATATATATATATATATATATATGAGACATATAAATGCATATTATATAACTTATGTACACATGCAATGTTATATTAAATAAGAATAATCATAAAAACATTGGGCGTATATATATATATATATATATATACATACAGTATATAATTGTATGGCAAAAAAAACACATGTCCTACAAAATGTGACTACAATTTTATATATACAGTATATTTGCTTAATAACTATTGTATATATATATATATAAAAAAAATTATTATCTATAGTATAGATTCTATACAGTATATAGTTTATAAAACAAAACAAAAAAAGCAAAGTTTTATTTATTATATACACTACTATACATATCTATAAATCTAGATTTTATTAATAGTAGTCAATTAATAACTAAATAATTAATCATAATATTTATAGGTATACATATACATATAGGTTTAGTTATATAAGTATATATATATATATATATTGATATTTACCCCAACAATTCAAATGTGATGCACAGGTGGTTACGAAAGTAAAAGTAGTCCAACATATGTATAGCATTATGACAACAGTCCCGATCACGTTTGGTTATGTGCTCCAGTATTTTAACCTCTACCAGTGCCTGCTGATGAAATCTATATATATAAAAATAATTTAAAAATATATAGATAAAAAAATTGAGGATTTAATATATATATAGATAGATATTATGTGTATATATATAATATCAAAAAAATGCATAATATTTATTGAATAATCAGAATTTTTTTATTAATAAACATTTATTAATGATTATATAATTATTTAGGGTTATATAAAATTAATTTTTTTGTGTAATATTAATTATATGACAGTAATATCACATATTAGACTAATTTTTTGTTTTGTTTGTTTAAACAAATGTGGGTTATCTATGCCTGTTATGGGTTATATAATATATATACAGTATATATATATAAGTTAAATATATCACAAATATATATATATACAGTATATATGCATAGAATATCTAAGTTTAGTATTTTATTATATGAATATTAATTTATATATATATAGATATAAATAGTATACTAAAATAATAATTATATCATCCAAATGTAATAGTTATATATATATATAAAAAAACTAAGCTAAATGTTTAACATTAATAATAATAATTGAAAAAAATTATGTCAAAAAACATCATTGATTTTTTTTTGTTGTTAGTATTTTATAGTTGTATAAATTGTATAATATATGCTAATATAATTGTAGTAATAATTATTGTTTTCTTGTATTTTTTTAATGTTGTTTTGTATTTTATTATTAACTTATAACTTAAGGCTTTCATTTAACTCTAACTCTCTCTCTCTCTCTCTCTCTCTCTCTTTCTCTCTTTCTTTCATTATTTCTAAATCAAAAAAAAATCGTGACTTTAATGTGTAAGTAATAACCAATTTTTAAATATATATATATATTTAAAAAGTAATGACACAAATAACAGGTCAATGAGATAATAGTTAAATGTGTTTAAAAAATTACACCTTTTATGTGTGTGTGTGTGTATGTGTGGGTAGAGTTAACTTTAAATAAAATTATGTAATTGATAATTACAAACACAATTTTTTTTTAAATTAATTATTTATTTAAATTAAAAAATCAATTTTTATTGATTAATTAATTATATAATAATGATTATTATTATTAATTGTATATATTTATTGATGATTAATTATATCATATTTAAATTAAATTGTAATAATTAATAATAAGCAATAATAAGCAATTTGCTTTTCAATAATAATAATTATTATTATTATTATAAATATAAATATAAAAACAATAAAAATATTAATAAAAATTAATTTATTTTAATAGATAAAATTAATATTTATTATATATATTAAATACTATCATTTAGATGAATATATATATATATATATATTAATATAAAAAATTATTTCAATATTTTTATTACTGGCCTAAAAATATATTATATATAACTACTGTTTATTTTGTACTGTACTGTATATATGAATTTATATCAATAAATATGTATAGTATGCACAAAATTATTATTACTATTATTTTATTAATAATAATATTATTATTATTGACGATCATTAAAACTGATGTTATTACTAATGTTATTGTACAATAATAATAAAATAATAAATTTAATGTACATATATATATATTGTACTAAAGCTATAAATATAATATATTTTATATATATTATATTTATACATACATTATATGTATTATATATATATATAGAGCAATCAAAAAATAAATTTATATTTAGATTTTTGTTTGTTTTAATAAATGTTTGGTTAATGTCGGCGTCTAATAAATAATAAGTCTCTCTCTCTCTCTCTCTCTCTCTCTCTTTCTCTCTCTGTCGAGTCATGCAATTTTTCGTATAACTAATATACTATAGTATACAGTATAAAATATTTTGACACAATTTTATCTAAACATATATAAACAAATTTATTCATTCATTCATTAGATAAACATAATGTATAGATATATATATACATTACAGTAATAATACTGTATTTTAAAAATTGTTAATAAATTTTCAACTTTTAATTTTATCTCTAATACTCCACTCTTTCTTTCTCTCTCTCTCTCTCTCTCTCTCTCTCTCTCTCTCTCTCTCTCTCTCTCTCTAACAAAAATAATCAAATAAATTACTAAAAATAGCCACTAATTTCTGATATTTATTTATTTATTATATATAGTATATATACTGTATATATAAATATATGTTTGAAATAGTTGTTCTCATTTTATTTTGAGTGAAAAAATATTTATTTTTTTTTTTTATAAATAAATTAAATCATTGCTTAAAGTATAATAAAGATAATAAACCCTAATTTTAACTATTAAAAAAACTATTTTTTATTATACATGATTTAATTTTTTTTGTGGCTAAATTAATTACCCCCTCTTTTTCTTAAATACCTCACAGTGCTATATATATATATATAGTTTTATAAATGTAATTATTAATTAGTTTTAATTGACTCATATAATAAAGTATTATTTCGTGTGTGTATATATTTAGTGTATGTTTAGTAAAAATTAAATTAAAATTAATAAAATTTTATTATATAAGCTAATAGTATAATAAATTTTTTGTTGATTTGTTTGATTTGTTTACCTCTTTTTATTTCTGATGATTTTGAGGGCCACCTCCTGATTGGTTTTGTGGTCCAGGGCTCGGATCACTTGTCCAAAGCTACCCTTCCCTATCACCTCAAGTATCTCATATCGATAGCATATATGATCATGGAGAACCTGTAGCCAAATAAAAAAACAAACAAATTTTAATTTTAAAAAAAAATTAAATAATAATTATTTATTGTAAAAAAATTAATTATTTTTCTATATTAAAAAACCCATAATATTAACATAAAAAAAATAATTTTTACTTTATATTATTATATTTATATCTCTAATAATTAATTAGTGTAAAAAATTGATAACAAAAAACAAAAATGATCATGCTGATAATTATTGTAATAAATTTAAATATTTAAATTACACAAAAAAAATTTTGATTTTCATTATTTGATATGTTAATTTTAGTTTTAAAATTTATACTGTATAATAATAATAATAATTAATTATTATTATTATTATTAAGAAAATAAAGATTAATATGTAAATTAAAAATTGAAATTAAAAATTTTTATTTACATTAATTTCTATTCACACAAAACTTGTATAATTATCATAATAATTATTAATATAAATATTAAAGATATTTTTATTTATATAAATTAACAAATTACATACGGTATATATATATATATATATATTATGTAAATAATGTATATTATTAGCTACTAAATAATAATAATAATAAATAGATAAATAATTCAAAGATATAATGTCAAATGTCAAATAATATCTGTTAATGGGATCACTAAATATATTTTTGTAAATAATTATTTTTTGTATTTTTTCAATTATTGATAAACTTGACATTTGTATGTATGTATGCGTGTGTGTGACTGATAAATATATAGTATATAATATTAGGACACAAAATGTAATTTATACATAATATATACAATATATATACTGTATAATAGTTTGATAAGTTCAACAAATTGTTATTAGATTAGTCAAAACGATAATATACTGTATTTTTTCAATTTAAAAAAAATAAGAAACATATATTTTTAGTAAATATCTTATTTGCGTTTTGTTAAAATTATCTTTTATTTTTTTTTTGCTTCAATTATATATATATATAGTATATTATTATATACTGTTTTTCAGTAATAGATTATAACCTAATATTCAAATTACTGTTTACTGGACCTAAACATTTGATGCAAAAAAATATATTAATATATATATACTTAATATATATTTAGTAATATATAATATAAGGGTATGACTAATACTATAAATGTGTAATAAATTAGTGTTTTTTTTTTTAGAAAAAAAGTATTAAAATTTTGTTTTTGTTGTTGTATTTTGTATTATATATATCTTATATACCGGTATATAATATATATATATATAATGTTATATTTATACCTTGACTATACCTTGAGTTTTTTATTTCCTTTTTAAATTTAAATGGTTAGTAGTTTTTTTTAAAGTTATTTTATAGTTTTGTATTTCAGTAACTTTTTAAAACAATATATATATATATATACTATAATATAATATAATAAAAGATATAAAAGATATCTCAAATGTATGTCTCATTTACAATAAATATAATATACACTCACAAAAAAACATTGTTTATAACATTGAATTCTCAAGTTTATAGTACAGTATATAATAGTAATGAATAAAAGTAATACTTTTTTTATAATATATTTATAATATTATATATATATATAATTAGTTTATTATATTTTTATTTTTTTATTTAATAAACAATAGGAAAATCCTAATTTACAACAATTTATAATATTTATAACAGTTTTTAATAGTTAGTATTTTATTTAATAAATAACTGTGTATAATATGATAATAATAATTTTTCAATGTTTTTGAAACATTATATTAAAATCTCATCACTAATTTTTTTTTCGTATATATCTTATTTTAATGATAATAATAATAATAATTATTATTATTATATGTAAACAATAGCCACAAAAAATTGAATGTCAGTATAAATTAATTATATGTATACTAAATAACTGTATGTATGTATGTGTGTGTATGTATGTATGTATTTATGTATGTATGTATGTATGTATGTATGTATGTATGTATGTATGTATGTATGTATGTATGTATGTATGTATGTATGTATGTATGTATGTATGTATGTATGTATGTATGTATGTATGTGTGTGTGTGTGTTTGTATATATATATATATGTGTGTGTATGTGTATGTGTGTAAATGTAACCAATCTATGCATTATTTATGATAATTTAATTTTATTTACCAAAAATAAATTACACACAAATTTTCAATAGACAATACAATACTGTATTAATTCAAGTGCTTCCTTATAACGTGTCTTACACTTTATATATATACTGTATTCATACAATACAAGTGATATTTATTTATTTTATATATATATATATAATTGTATTACAAAATAATAATCCTAAAACACTATTTGATTAGTACAGTACTACTACTATTACTAATACTAATACTAATACTACTACTACTGTATCAGTAATATTTGATTTGAAAAAATACTATACAAATGTAATACTATTGATAATATATATATATATATATATATATATAATACAATAGATACTAAAAAAACTATATACAGTACCAGAATATAAATTAAAATATTATATTGTATTGTATTTTACTTATAATAAGCAAAATTATACAATATATATATTTAAATAATAATAATGCAAATATTTTTATTAAAAATAAATATTAATTATTATATTTTAAAAGCATTTTTTTGTTAAGCATTAAGAAACTTCTAGAAAATTTATATTAATTTTTTTTTAAAAATTAATTTGCTTTATATATATTTTTTAATATTAAATATATTTTACTTATTAAAAAAATATTTTATTATTATTTAATACCACATTTACTTTTATATTTTCACAATATTTTATTATTATTTTTTTGAAAGTATTATTAAAATACAGGTATAATATAATCTTTATATATATATAATAATTGAAAATATAATGTATTATACATATTAAATATATTCAAACAAACAAAAAATAAATAAATAATAAGCTAGATAAAACTTGAAATATAATAATAATAATAATGTAGTCCTAGCTATAGCTTAATTATTTTTTTAGTATGAATATCATTACTAAAAAAATAAAATAAAAATAATAAGAGGTATTTTAGCAACAAAAAAAATAATAAAATATTTGAATTTTTTTTCTGATATAACATTTATAGAAAAAATATATCTTATAATAACTGATAAAATATACATACATTAAGAGACATACTTATATGAAAAAAATATCTGACATACAAAACAACAACAAAATATTCAACATTTTTGTTGTTGTTATATCAATATATTATTTATATATATAAATATTTTTTTATCATCAAAAAAAATCCTGATATATAAAGAGCCGCTTAAAGCGATTTTTTTCTCAAACATTCAATAGACATCCTTAACAAATAGATAAATATCTATAATATATATATATATATATAATAACTAAATAAAGCTTTAATATAATTTATAAAAACATAATTATATTACATATATCGTATATATATATATATATATTTAATAATTTATAATATATTTAATATATTTAAGTTGATTATGTATACATGAATTAGGCGTTATTTTATTAGATATATTTAATACTCTCACACAAATAAAATTGCTTTTTTAAGCACAAAAAAATCATTATTTTTAATAAAAAATAATAATTTATTTTAAAAATTATAAAACAGTTTTTTATTTTCTAGAAGATAACATTCATTCAATTATTAATATTTTATTTTTTTTATTATACTAAAATATATTTATTTTTTTAATCTTTATTATTATTATTATAAACTGTATTAAATACAGTGTATAAACTAAATATTATTGACATTCAAAAAATTAGACAATGAGATCAAAATATGATTTTTTATTTTTGAAAACTAAATCATCAACAAAATAATTACTACAAAATAAATGACATTTTTTTTGTGAACTAATAATTTTTTAGCACAAAAAATACGATAATATTTGTTAACTTAACTAACGATATACTGTATATAAATATTTTGATAAATTGTTTGACATTATTATTTTTTTGTCAAATTTTTTATCTATAATTTAGTCCAATTTATCAAATAATAATATATTTCAAATAAATTATTGTACAATATATATGTATATATATACTAATATAATATATCCTCTCAATAATATTAAATAATATTTATATATTTAATTATTAATAATTTATTTTTTTATAAATATATAAACTGCCTAAAGTTACAACAAAAAATTTTTGGTCAAAAATTTTGATTAGTTATATAACATATATATATATTTGGTGATAACTTACCAACTATATTTTTTTAAATTATATTAGATATACAGTGTATATATATATATATATATCAATATTATATACAATGTATATATATATATCAATATCATATACAGTGTATATATATATATATATATATATATTATATACAATTGGTTCAAATAACAACAACAAAAATAAAAAAAATAAAATTGAAATTTTCAATTTTCTACACAAAAAAACATATTATAATTTTCTATTTTTATATACTATTTATATATCATATATATATAGATGAAAAAAATTTTCAATAAAAAAATACCTTAACATATGAACCGTTTTCATCATCGTATCCATGATTGTGTTGGGCATTGTCTTCACCGATAACTTTGTTGGCATCCATTCCCAGATACCATACCTCCGGATAATGGCTAACCTCTGTCCTCTCGTAGGCATTCATACGTAAGCCGTAATACCGTAGAGTTTCTGTCAGTTTTAAGTTTGTTTTTATTTAGCGCCAGAAAAATAGATACCAAACATATAAAGAAAAAAATTGAGAAAATAATATTAAATTATTTTATTTTAATTTTTTGTAATTTTTTTGGGAAGGGTGGGGGTAAACAAAAATATAATATTTTAATTTTTGAACGAAAATATAGATAAAAGTGAAAAAAAACATTTAATAATACGTTTTTTTATTGTCTATTGTAATGTATTTTTTTAAAAAAAACTAATGTTATATTTAAAGAAAATTATTGGGATTTAAGATTTAGATTTTATTTGCAAACAAACAATAAAAGATTTATTTTATTTGCAAATAAAAAATAAAAGATTTATTTTATTTGTGATTATTATTAGTTGTTTTTTAAAACCGTTTTTAGTAAAGAAAAAATCTGGGATTTAATTAAACTAAAAACAAAAAATTAAAAGAAAAATTGATATAATTATTACAAAATAAGTTTTTTTATATATATAAATTTATTTTAATAATTTCATATTATTATTGTTTTTTATTTGTTATGTTAAAAATACAGTGTAAGCTATATATTAATTTTCAATGTTTTTTTATTGTTGTTGAATATATTATATACTGGTATCTAAAGTATAGTGTTGGCAAAAAAGAGAAATTTATAAAATAATAGAGAAATTTCTAGAAAGTTTCTAAAAGAAATTTCTATTTATGGGATCCCCATGGTTAATTTTGTTTTCTCGATATTTGTTATCTTTAACATTGTTTTTATAAGTAATATTTAAATATTATTAATTTAAATAAATTAAGTAAAAAATTAATTAATTTAATTATATTAAACTATGGTATAATAAAATGGTGAATAAAATTTTACAAAACTGATTATTATTAAATAATTATAATTATTTATATAGGTATCCCATTTATATAATAGTATTATACAGTAATCTACATTATATAGTACAATATTATATGTATAGTAGTGTCTCATTAATATATTTATAGTTTTACAATATCTATAGATATGGGGATCCCATAGTATAACAAAAAAGTTAAATTTCTATAGAAATTTATTACTGAGAAACTTTCTAGAAACTTTCTCAGGGAAATTTATTAGAAACTTTCTATTTGCCCATCTCTACTAAAGTAGTAGAAAAATAAATTAAAATTTTGTATTTTATTTTCTAATTAATTATCTAAATATTAAAGCATTTTATGTATTATTTGTTTTGTTTTTGTTTTTCTCTTTTTGAATTGAAAGCGAAACTTTAAATTCAATATAAAAATATATGAAATATTAATAATATAAATAACATGTTAAGACATTTAAAGATAGTATATATATATATATATATATTTTTATTTATCTAAATATATATATATATATATATATATATATATATATATATATATATATATATATATATATATTTAGATAAATAAAAATTTAACATAATAAATATTTTTATAAATATCAAATATATATATATATTATAGACTAAAATATATTCAATATTATACTGTAATATAATTTAATGTAAATACTGTACTACTAATATATTTATATATTTGTATTTAATTTATTTAGTATTTACTTTTTAGTATAAGATATTTCTTAATATATTATATATTATTTTATTTTGAATAAAAATTATACGAACAGGTGTTTCCCTATATTTATATACAGTATATATATATACAGTATATATATATATATACAGTATATATATATATATACTGTAATATTGTATAATATTGAATGTATGTGAACATACATACATATAGGGGCTAATGATTTATGTGACCTTTAAGTAATAGATATTATTATTTATTTATTTTGTTGTTGTTATACAACCCTAATGATGATGGCAACAGTTTTTTTTAAATTAAAAAAAACTATAAAACTGTATATGTATTGTACAAACATATTTATATACAATCTATACAAATAAAATAATATATATACAGTATATATATATTATTTTAAAAATTGTCTAATATTTGTTAAATGATTATTACTTAATATATTTTTTTTGTTATTAGTATTATTATTGTTGCCATGATAAACTTTATTTTATTTTTAAAAATATAATTTATAATATAAATTTATAATTATATAAATTTATAAACATTATAAAATTGCAAACATTTTATTATATATATATACTGTATGCCCTATTTTATAATATATATATACAATATATAATATATATATATATATAAGTTGTTATCAACACAATTTTTGGTGCAGGCATACTATAAAACATGCATTTTTCAAAAAATCAATTGTATGTATACATAGTATAACACTTATGATATTAATGCAAAAATATTTATTATTATTATTATTATTATTAACTATATAATGTGTGTGTATGTGTTAACTGTTTAATCACTATTTTGTAATATATATATACAGTATTTTCAGTATAGTTTTTATCAAAGTCACGCATTTGTTATTTCACACAACAATAACAACAAAAATAATATTAAGGGATTATATACTGTACTATACTATACTATATATATATATACTGTATATATATTGATGGAGATTTTATTATATATAAAAATTTATTATATATATATATAACATTCAAAAAAGATTTATTTGTAATATAGTGTATATGTATATAATATAATACAGTATATATAAATTGGTATTTAAAAACAATGAATTTTTTTTTAACAAAAACACAAAAATCTAATTTTATGGCATTAAGTGTATTATTATTATTATTATACTATTAATAATAAATTTTTATCTAAATTAATTAAATCTACGAAACAACAAAATAATAATACTAATAATAATAAAATTTTATAGTTTACTGTATTTATAAAAATTTATATATATATATATAGTATAGATTTATTTAAAAATTTATTATTATTATAATAATAATAACAAATACATTGTTAATTTCAAACTACATAATGTAAAAAAAAATTCTATAAATTGTATAATAATAATAATAATTGGATAATAAATGCATTTAAAAAAATCAAATAATGTCTTAAAAATTATTATTACTAAAAAAAATTCAAACCGTTTGGAGTGAGAGGTAGCTTATGTCCCAATGGATCCAATCGGTGACTCTTTGACGGCTCATTGATGGCACCCATGTTTTCCCTGTTTTCGCCATTCAAATCGCTATCATAGATCTTGCCATTAGTTGGTCTATGGCTATGGTTATGGTGATGATGATGATGGCTATGACCATTGATGGCACTGCCACCACCACCACCATTGATACCATTACGATAATCTTTGCCAATTAGACTAATACTACTACCACTGCCACTGCCACTACTACTGGTGCTGCTGCTGCCAGCACTGCCATACTTGGAGCCATTGGTGGTACCATTGGTACTGAGCACCGACCCGACAATCTGATCCTGTTCCTCTTTGGACATATGATTTATTGGGATTTTTTGTACGGCAATAGTGGGCAGCGATGCCAATTGGCCGCCGTTTAGTTTGGCGTCCATTGCTAGTATGCCATTACCTAATGTTTTACCAAACATTTATTATTAATTTAGTTTTTTTTAAATATATTTCAATGTATAAAACTTTAAATAATAATAATATTTTTTTAATAGTAGGTTAGCATATACAATATTCAATCCATCATAAATATATATATATATATATATATATATAATTATTAGGGGGGATATCACTTTTGTTTAAAAATTTTATTTATTTTTATTTTATTTTTTTTGATAAATTATTATTATTGTTTAAAATACAATAATATTGTATATGTTTTGCTAATTTTAGTAATATTTATATATATAGTATATTTTTTTTGAATTTATTATTATTTTACTTTTTTGTTTAACTTTTATTTTGCTAAACTGCATAATTTATGCTAGATTTTTCAATAGATAATTATTATTATTTATTATTATTATCAAAAAAATTAATTTTATTAGATTTTTATTTCTATGTCTATTATTTTTTTTTATATTTCAAAAAACAAAATTAAACTAATTATAACAATTGGTTAAATTGATGTTAATCTTTATGGGAAAAAATTATTTATTATTTTTTTATTATTATCAATAACTAAATTAGTTTTTTTTAATAAACCTATTCATACCATAATAGCAACTATTTAGTATATATTTATAATAACAATAAAAATTAAATAAATTATTTTTTTTATGTTAAATATAAAGCTTAAACACATTAATTGATATATTGTGTGTGTGTGTGTGTGTGTGTGTGTGTGTATACTGTATATGTTTTGCAATATGTATAATACAAATATATACAAATACAACACACAAACATATAAAAAAAATCAAAATAATAATAATTACAATAAAATAATAATAAAAATAAATACAAATTTTTGAAATATGTGTCAAATGAATAATTAATGCGATTTATTATAATATAAATCTAAAGGGAAAATACTGTATATAATATACAGTATATATTTGGCATAAATATTAATACATGGGATGTCATATACAGTACACAGTTATATATCTAAACATAAAATTTTTAATATTTTTTAATAAAATTATATTTTGTTTTAGGCAATTATTTTATCTTTTTTTAAAAAAAATAAATTTAAATATAAATAAATTATTGTACAATATTTCTAAAGGATTTATATATTTATATATATATACAGTATTTGTTAATTTTGTTAACTAAAAATTTTGTAAACTTAATTAAAAAAAATTAAAATAATAATAAAAAAGTTACTTTTAAAAAATTATAATCTCTCTCTCTCTCTCTCTCTCTCTCTCTCTCTCTCTCTCTCTCTCTCTCTCTCTCTCTTTATATATACAGTATATACAGTATATACTAAATATATTGCTTACGACATCATCCATAACTATATAGTAATTTAACTGCAAATTAATGCTAATTTAATAATAAAAATAATATACTAATAAATACATTAATTTTTAATGTCTGGCTAAACTTTATTACTTTAGATAGAGAAAAAAATAAAAAAAATAAAATTATAAAATACAGTTATTTAATTATTTAAACTAAAAATGTTATTTTCAAAACACAATTTTTCTCAACAAAAAAATAATTACTGTATATATATATATACTGTATATACTGTATGATTAATTATATTGCAATTATCCATTAATTCAACTATAAAAATATATAAAATTAAAAATTTATTAATATTACACGAATACACTATATATATTGTATATATATATATTAATTACAATTATATATATATATTATTGTAATTAATATTTTTATTGTTAATAATTTTAATATTTAATAATAATTAATATTCTAATTGTTAATAATTTTAATATTTAATAATAATTTAGTATTTTTATTGTTAATAATTTTAATATTCAATAATAATTTAGTATTTTTATTGTTAATAATTTTAATATTTAATATTAATTATTATTGTTATTATTATTATTATTAATATTACCATTTGGTTGTCTGGATAGCCGGTGGGTTAGCGAAGCCAACGTTCCGCTAGTTTTGGCGGCAGTCAACTGTAACTGTGTGGCCAATGCACAACCAAGTTTGGACAGTCCACTTGAACTACCGGTGCCAACATTACCGACGCCGCCATTGGTGTCCAATTTGTGGCCACCGTTTAGATGGCCGGCTGTAGTCGTCGACGAAGACATCATATTATTTGTATTCTGGATAATAATAATAATAATAATAATAATAAATATTTAAATATTAAAATTATTTCATAAGTTTTTAAAATGTTTTATTTTTAATTAATTCAAACTATTTTTTTAAAAAAAAGTTAAAAATATAAATCAAATTTTTTTATTTATAATGTCTCTCTCATACATGTAGTTATAATTAGTTTATTTAATATAAATTATAAAACTAGAAAATAAAATTATTTATTTATTTAGTTATAAAATGAATATATATTTCATATATGTATTATAAAAATAGGTTAACATTTTTTTTATTTCTTATGTTTCTAGAAATCTGTTATTTATTTAGTTTATTTTTTTTTGATTTAAAAAAGTGCTTAATTTTTTATAAATAATTTTTTTTTAAAAATATATTCAATACTTCAAAGAACTGGTTATATATATATTTTTTTGGATAAAATTTTATATAATGTATTGTATTTTTTTTATAAATTGAGAAGACATTAAATTTTATCACTATTTAACAAAACAAAATACATTAAATAAATATATTATATATATATATAAACTAAACACACAAATATATAAATCTCTTTATATATATATATGAACTCATTTTTTATTAGTAGCAATATATATAGTAATAATTTACTTATAACTATACAATGCTTTCAATCAAAAATAATATTAATAATAATAATAATAAACAAATTGAAACAAACAGACAGAAAAAAATTTGTATTGTCATGGATTACACCATAGCTTTCAAATAATACCTATATTTAAATTTATTATATAATATAATGTTATATATATTAATATATCATATATGTATTCAACAAATCATACTATTATATAATAATAATCATAATACTGTATTAGCGTAAAAATAAAGCTTAGTAACAATAATTTATATATATATATATATACTGTATATAGAAATTATACTAAATATACTATTCATCCCAATCGATATGTATATAATAATAATAATTAATATTATTATTTTTTTTGTACAAAACAATATATAAAACTTTTTTAACGATTAATTTTATTTTTTTTGTTGGTGACACTGGGGTGTAAATCAGGTCAATTATAATGGTGTGTATATGTATGTATGTGAGTGTGTGTGTGTGTGTGTGTGTGTGTGTGTGTGTATGTATGTATGTATGTATGTATGTATGTATGAATCATACTAATCATAATTATACTCGGAGCATATATCATAATCACATATAGACCATGGTTATTAAGCCCACGTTTTTTTTAAAATAAAAAATACAATCGGTACAGGTAGTTATGTTTTTTAGTTAGTTTGTATATATACACTATATATATACAGGTATATATAAATTACATTAAAAATTATTTGTTAATTTTTTTTTGTTGGTTAGTGGATACAGTACTTTATATAATATGACTTATTTAGCGAAAAAACTAATTTTTTTTATATATTAATTATCCAAACGAGAAGCTACTGTATGTAAGTATGAGTGTGTGTGTGTGTGTGTGTGTGTGTGTGTATGTATGTATGTATGTATGTATGTATGTATGTATGTGTGTGTGTGTGTGTGTGTGTGTGTGTGTGTGTGTGTGTGTGTGTGTGTAGTCAGTCACACACATAAATACTAGAAGTTTAACTGTAAAATTCAGGTATTCATGTGTGCAGAAAAAGGTTAATTGCTTTTTATTATTATTATTATTATTATTACAATATTATGGGTATTATTGTTGACTAACTAACTAATATGTATTTCTAGTAGTTTGTGATTAACATTTTTTTTTAAAAAATGTATAGTAGTCTACATACTGTATAATATATATATATATATTAATTTTATACTCTGTATTTAACAATTAACCATATTATTGTTGTTATCATTATCATTATTGTTACACACAATAAGCAAAAACAATAATAATAACTAAAAAAATAGCAACATATAGACTAATTATCATTTATTTTGTATAGTTAGCAATTTTTTTTGTGATTTTTATTTTTGCTAAAAATATAACTATATATATATATATATATATATATATTATAGTTAACATGTGTGTAAAAATTATTAGACTATTACATAAATGTGTCATCTATGTATTTCACATAGTTTAGAAAATTTTTATTTTATTATTTATTTTTTTAAAAAAAAACTTATTTACTATTATTTTATTTTACTATAATCTGTTTATTGTTTGTTTGTATAATACATTACTAAATTGTATTATATATATATATATATATACAGTATAGTAGAATAATATATATATATACTATAACAATATAATAGCAATAAAAATGATGATAATAATAATAATGGAAATATTTTATATATATATAAAATAGAGGATTAAAATTCAATTTGCAAATAAAGTTTATATTATATAAAACATTATATACAGTAGTATATTAAATAAGTTATTTTATGATATACACTGTATATTATACAGTATATACTGTTTTTTAAAAAAGCACTGTTAATATTGTTAACTAAAATTTAACAGTAATTTTCATTATGACTGTTCATTATATTTATTTTTAAAAAATATATACTCTTTATATTATATCATTATATATATATTGTATAGTAATGTAAAAAATAATTTTTAAAAAGGCTATAATTTGCATATATTAAAATTGTCAATACTTCCTACATTAACACCAATGATATGTCATCATCATTGCAAACAAAACTATTATTATTATTATTATTACAATCATAATGATAATAATAATATTTAAATATAAAAAAAACATTATCGCCCTTTATATTTACAAAAATAAAATTAAAATAATAATTTATAACATTGCAACATAACAATATTTTTATTTAATTTATAAAATTAAATATTATAAATATATTGATTAGATGTTTAATTAGATGTTTTTATAATATAAAATAAAAATATTATTTGCAAATTACTATAATAATAATAAATAATAATAATATTTTTTCCTATAATTAAAACCTTATAAATGTTAATTAAAATATATATTTTTTTTGTTGTAATTTTTATTTCATTTGTTTGATTAAATTCTCTTAATAATACTGTATATAAATTTTTATAGATTTTATTTATATATATTATAGACATTTTTATGATATTTTAATTATACGGCTAAATTACTAAAAATAATATTTCAATGATTAAAAATGAAAAATTTACATTAAATTCTAGAAAGTTATTAAAAAATTGAAAAAAAGTTTTAAATAATAAGTTTCTATTATATAATAGATATTTAAATTATACTGTATATACAGTACATATATATATATATATATATATATATAATAAGCAATAAAACTTTTTTAAGCATAACGTATAATAAATCATAATTACAATGTTTAATCATTTATGTTTAATATATTAAGTTGCATATATGTGAGCAAATAATATATTAAAAATACAGTTTAATTGCATTAATATATAAATTTATATATATACTGTATATTATGTAATACATATATACTGTATATTATGTAATACATATACAAATTAAGCTTTATATATTAAATATATTATTATTATAATTAATATTATAATAAATAATATACAGTATAAATATAATAGCATTGCATGTGATCCGTATATAAATTAAAATACAGTATATTATATAAATAATAAACATTTATACGGTATAATTATTATTATTAAGAAATTTATCAATAAATTTATTATTGCATATAAAAAAAATTTTATAAATAATATTTCACTAGAAATAAATAAAAGAAATTATTTATAATTTTACTAATAATATCATAATAGTATAGTAGTTTTATTATTATTATTTTATTACAATAGTAATAACAATTAATAACTAATTTAATTATATTAATATTATTAAATAAAATAATTATAATTCTAATTTCTAATTTTTCTCTAAAAAAACTAGTTTAATGATAAAATTTTGTTTAAAATAATAATTATAACAATAATAATAATAATAATAAATCTAAAATTAGATTTTTACTAATAATATAGATATAAATAGAAAATTATAGTTAAATTTTTTTTAGAAAAATAAATTAATATATAATATAAAAATAAATATAATAATAATAATTATTTAATTTTTTTTTTACTTTTCTTTCGTCCAAACCGTACAAATATCTGGGATTTGTTTGACTATAAGTAACATTACTTATGGCAGTCATTATTAATACTAATAATAATAATAAAAATATTTAACTAAAATATTATTATTTAATTTTATTATAACAATATTTTTTATAACAATAACAATAACTTTTGAATATATATAGTGTGTATATCAACAACAAAACAAAACAAAACTAATATTTATGATAACATTTATATATATTTATTATTAATGTTATTATTATTATTATATTATATAATCAGAATAATATATAATAATTTTTGTTTAATTTTTTTATTAAATAAATTTTTTTAGCTAAAACACAATAACATTTAGTTAAAAAAAACAACTAACATTTTTTTGTTGTTAAAATTGTTTATCTCTTTTTAATAATAATTATTATTATTTTGTTTTTAAACAACAATTGTTGTTAACGTTAATTAAAACACTGATAACATCTCTCTCTCTCTTTCTGTTTAATAATAATAATAATAATAATACAGTATATACTGTATGTATGTCTTAGTTAACGATGATTTAAGACATCAATTAGTTAAACGAAGATAAAAAAAATGTTAACAATAGTAATAATAATAATATTAATATTAATTATTATAATAATAATAATAATATCAACAAATAGATAACTTAGTTATTATTATTATTAATAACACTTTCCATAGTTTTCATACACAAACAAAATAATAATAATAATAATAATAATAATAACTTTTAACAATAACAATATGTTATTTTTTGTGCTAAATATATTGCAAATTTCAAAAAATATAAAATCTATATATATTTTTGTTGTATTAAAAATTTTTTAAGCAAAACTTAAAAATATTATTATTATAATAACAACGATATCTTTTTTTTGAGGATAACTTTCTCCTCAAAAAAAAAATAAAAATAATATTATTGTTCAGCAAAAATATGTCTATATATATATACAGTATATACACAATATATATAACAATAAGATTACAATGTATTGTAAAATATATATATATATATAATAATGTGTTTTCACGTCAAACTTTTTATTATTATTATTATTATTACAATATTAACATCAACAACAAGTTGCTTGAAAATATTTTTTTTATATATATATACCTTATATATATCTTATAGATATATTATTATTATTATAACACATAGATTATGTAACACAATAACATATTATACTAGAAATATATATTTAAAAAAAATTTCTCAACAATAAAAATATGATTTAGATTATATCATTTTTTTTGTTAAAATGTACATGGATGATTTATAGAAAATATATATATAGATATATATCCAATATTATTATTTTATATATATATATATTGTAGATACAATTTTTTTCAACATAAAAAAAATAAAACTCACATTATTATTATCAATATTAAACATGAATTATATATAATATCTATTTTGATAGTAAAGTAATAATAATAATAATAATAAATAAATAATCGGAGGATGAGTTCAATACATGTCATATAACTAACAAACAAAACATACAAAAAAAAAGTTTGAATCAGTCAATGAATTATTATTATTATTTTTCGTTGAATAAAATAAAACACTTTTATTATATATATATATGAAAAAAAAACTTTTTATACAATAAAAAAAAATTTTTTATACAAAAAGTTTTCACGTTTGAAAATTGATATTATTATATATACTGTATATATTTTTTTGTATATACAGGTAAACTTAACAACAACAACAACAACACATTTATATATATATATATATATACTAAAAAATCATGAGTCGATAAACCAGTGTTCAAATAGGTATAGTATGGTATGGTATGAGTTAGAAACCCAGCAAAATAAAAACACCTCAATATCTAAATCCCTTATACAACACACTAAAGGCGATACCCGTGTCTATCAGTATCACTGACTGACTGAGTGACTGACTTCCCAAGTGCTGGTGACTCTCTCTCTGTACTAAACCTAACACACCAGCCAAACAACACCAGCACAACCACTCCAATGGCACCGATAGCTGAATGAAAGAGAGAGAGAGAGAGAGAGAGAGAGAGAGAGAGAGAGAGAGAAGCACTGGTATGTAATACATCTATGGGCGATACATGTGTGTGCGCATACATACAAGTAGTAGGAATATTCAAATATATAATATAATATTTAGTATATATATACACTTTTACATACCATATCCTCTATTGAATTATGAATTATATAAGTGGAGGGGGGTTATTCTGTAATACCTACCCCCCATCCATCCATCCCTCTCACTCATCATAATCATCATCAGTACATAACCCTATCTTTGAGAGGGTCAGACACTTATTATTATTATTATTATTATTTTCAAGTGAAAGGGGTTTATGTACCCGACCATATTGAGAGAGAGAGAGAGAGAGAGAGAGAGAGAGAGAGAGAGAGAGAGAGAGAGAGAGAGAGAGAGAGAGGAGAGAGAGAACACCCTATTTTATATATATATATATATATATATATATATATATATATGTATATACCTACATGATTTTTGTAGTATATATATATATATATATATATATATATATATATATATATATATATATATATTATATTTCAAATACCTAATCAATTTGTGTGTTTAATCACTGATAAGTATAATTATTACTAAAAAAACATTTATATACAACAAAAATATTTATAAATTTCATTATAACTTTATATATATATATATATATGATATTCAATGGGGTTTTATATATACTGTATATATATATATATCAAACGTTTGCATTTGTTTTTGGTGATAATACTCTTAATAAGGTATTAACCCTCTATTTTTTAAATAAAATAAATTAAGTTTTATTTTATCAACAAAATAAATTGTTTTGTTGCTTGTTTATTTATTTTTTAATTATTAATAGTATTAAAATTATTTCTACACATACAAACATTACTTGACAACAAATATTTTACAAAAATTATTAAAAAAAAACTTGTTATATATATGTTTAAACATTAATAAAATGTGACATTTATTTATTTAATTATTTAGATTTTTAGATTTTTTAAAATTCTTTTAATATCATTTGATAAATTATTATAACAATTGTAATTTAAATATATATACATATATATCATATTAAATTAAATATTACTAAAATATTTTACATAGTATCAAATTTATATGTATATATACTGTATATATTGTATGAATTTGATATATTTATATTGTATTTTGTAATAATTATAATATAATACATTTGGCAAATGTACTTATCTATATGATAGATGATATTTGATATAATTTATGTATATATATATTGATAACTAAAAATATTTCATATCATCATTTAATAAATATATATATATATATATCATATAGTAATAACATACACACAAATTAATAGACAATGATATATAATATTTTTTTTACAAATAAATATATATTTATATACATATATAGATTATATATATAATATGTCAGTTATTTTTAGTGTTTTGTTACTAAAAATACAAACAAGAAAAAAATACTAATAATAATTTATTATTATTATTATTATTATTACAAGATTTTTTTCTCACTAAAAAAACTCATTTTCAAGCAAAAAAAATCTGTCAAATATAAAAAAGATATTTAATATATTATATATTACAATATATATATATAATACATTATATCACACTTATATTATATAATTTATATAAAGCATTTTTTAATCATCATTATCATTATCATCATCAATAACATTATATATATATATATATATATATATATATTATTGTCCCTCAAGTGATTAAATTGATTTATTAAGGAAAAAATATTTATTATATTATTGTATATATATATATATATATATATATATAATATAATATGATACCAAAAAATACACTATATATATATATTACAATTATTATATATATATGTGTGTGTATGTTAACACTAATTTATTTAGCAATAAGTTTATCAACAATAATAATAATAACACCAAATATATATATATATATCAAAAAACCTAAACCATTATATATATGACAAAATGGTTGTCAACAAAGTATTATATTACTATTTATTTACTGTATATATAAAAACCCTGTATTAATATTTGATATATAAATTTTATTATTATTATTATTTTATACTATTTACAACAAATCTCTTAGTAACTCAACAACAAAAAATTAAACCTTTTTAATAAATAACTGACTTATATATTATTTTTTGTATTTTTGTTAATTTATAAATTTTTTTGGTCAACAAATAGCAAACAAACACTAATTTGTGTGTTTGACTTTGAATTATATATATATATATATTTCAACTATATATATATATATATAAAAACCATTGATGTTTTTTAGGGCACGATTTTGTCAATATGTTTATATAGTAGTAGTAGTAGTAGTAGTAGTAGTAGTAGTAGTAGTAGTAGTAGTAGTACTCAATTAATGTGATTTTTATTTATTTGCCATTTTTTTCAAATATATATATATAGTTTTAACTGTAAGTTATATAAGTTTTATTACATTTTTAATTTTTTTTTAGGGAACAACTAATATAATTACAAATAATAATAATAATAATAATAATAATAATAATAATGTAGTTATAATTGTATATTAAATTCATTGCACTTGCAATGTATTGGCAATGGCCTCAAAATACATACATAGAGTTAGTCTCCTTAAATAAAAAAAACTGTATATAAAATATATAAAATTTTTACATATAATAATAAAATAATGATTAACTTGTAATACATTTTATTTAAAAAGATAAGTTATTTACTGGTATATTATCATATATATGGTGGTGTCGTATATATATATATATATATATAATAAAAGTGTTTCAATGCTATTAGTTTTTTTTATTATAAATATTATATTTAATTACTTTTTTTGATAAGTGTATATATCTTTCATCACTACTTTATTATAATACTATAATACATGTATACTGTCATCAAATATGTTTCAAAATTTTTTTTAAAAAAAATTGATTTTTTTAATCGCAATACACTTGTGTGTGTGTGTGTGTGTGTG